TTTTTTTTTTTTTTTTTTTTTTTTAGAAGAGAACTAGATAATTCATTCTACTATATGAGAAGATAAGGAGAAATCAGCCATGTACAATTTAGAAGAGGGTCCATACCAGACAGAACCCATCCACATTCCAGCCTCCAGAACTGCAAAATATATTTCTATTGTTTATAAGCCACTCAGTTTATGGAACTTTGTTACAGCAGTCCAGATTGAGCTATCACAACAGCCTCAGATTTAATGAGTATCATCTTTGAGTTTATAAAAGCCAAAAATAAACATTCATAATAAATATTTATCCTAGGATTTTTAAATTGATTAATTACACTTTTCATACATTTTCAACAAAATAATTCATGATAGATAAGACCTAGCAAAGTAAATTTCACAACATTAAGTAATATGATAGGAGATATAAGGTGTGATGTATTTATAATCCAGTTTACTGTACTCTTGGGAAGCTGCCCATGAGAATCCCTACCGCACTGGCCACATTTGACCCAAGAGCCAATACCTACCAGGCAGCATACACCTTACATGAAGATCGAGAAAAGGCTTCTAACCAGTAGAGATGTTTTGTCCTATGGTAGGAAGAGACCTACTCACCCAGTGTTAGTAATAATTAATACTGAAGACAAAACCTGAGAAACAAAACTTTAAATCAAAACTATGAGTCAGTGAGAATCCTAAGGTAACAATTCAAGCAATTATGTTTAATATCAAATAAAACTATTCTACTCAGTTGCATCATTTATTCCACACATGCGAGTAATCTTCGCACCTCTTTCTAGTATACTTTGAGAAGTGGAGTTTTTCTCATGCTTGCCTCATGCTCAGCCTTCCTCACTGTCCTCTGTCTTTTAATCATCGTTCCCAGCTCACTAGAGATTCGCTGCTCTCTCAGTCCCTTTCTAGTCGCTGAGATAAAACATCCTACACCTTAAACTCAAAGGAGAGGTTTATTTCAGCTCACAGTTGCAGAGGGCTCAGTCCATGCATAGTCACCCAGCTCAAGGGAGAAATGGTGTAACGGAAGGGCCTGGCGGGGGAAAGCTGCTCACATCAGGGCATCCAGGAAGCAGAGAGAACAGGAGTATGGGAGGGGGACAGACCTTCCAGGTCACTCCCCACTGATCCGCCCTCTTAACAGCACACTCAGCTACTGAACTCTTTAGTTGATGAAGCCAGTCACAAGGTTAGTACCCCCATGATCCAGTCACCTCTCAAAAGGCCTCCCTCTGAACATAAGAGGCTTCTGGAGGACATTCTAGATCTAAGCCATAACAGTTACAATCCTAGAATGAAACTCTCTCTGCCATTATCTCCCCAAAAACCCTTACCCTAAGGCCATTACTTGTAACATATATTTACGAAAGACCAAAGAGGATAATAAAAGTAGAAACAATGTTAAAATCTATTTTAGAACACAGTTTTTTGCTTGTTTGTTTGTTTGTTTGTTTTGGTACTGGGGATTGAACTTGGGTCCTTGTGTTTTCAAGGAAGGTGGTGGAACCACTGAGCTAAATCCCTGGATTCTCAAAATATATTTTACTCACCAATTTTCCTAGCAACTCCTTGGCCGTTCCCTGCTACAGGTGGTTTCACTGGCTATTTCCCTAGGTAAGCCTTGTCTTTTCTCCATTCTACCTGGACTCACATGCATGCAGATACATTATGAATAAAACAGGTGAGGGAAGTAAGGTGAATATAGGAACAGTTTTTACTTATACATTTTCTTAAAGCACATGACTTTGTCAGTCCCTCATTTCCCAAAGTTACATTTTATTCTTAAAGTACTATTTTGACAAGTTATTCATGTTTCTCAGAGAGGGCAGTGATAAGACATGGCAGCAGATTTGGGCCTTATTATTTAATTAGTATGGGGTGTTAAACCCTAGAACAAACCGGGATTCCTTTCCCATCTAAAGGAGGCAAGTGGTTTCCAGCTCCAGTCTGTCAGGCAAGATCCCAGCCCAGAACCACCAGATCTTCTAATTTACCAAGAGAAGCCAGAAATTTAGCATGTATATATTTTTCTAATTTGTTAAAATTCTGGCTATTATTTTAACTTTTTACAAATACCATGTAGGTCAAATAAAAGTCTCACATTCTAAGCTTTTTCTCTGCTATTTCAGTTGCTATAGACAAATCTAGTACAGTTTTAAATATTGAAATAACATAATTTAAAATACTTTAAGAAAGGAGAACTTACTGAATTTTATTCAGTGGATTTTGAGGGGCTCAAGCTGAGGAATGTAGTTTGGTTCTTGGGAACATTGGAGGGCATTTAAATCCCATCAGGTCTTTGAGGTTGGATGTGGTCTCTCTCTCTCTCTCAAGAGAGGTTAGGTTCCTAGAATGAGCTAGACAACTCCTTCTTGATTTTACAATTCCCAGAAAGGACTCTGATTGTCCTAGTTTGGGTCTGGTGACAAACCTCAAACCAGTGAAATACATCCAAAGTAGGGTCACGTTCAGACAAATAATAGAAGGAGCAGAAATATTAGGGAAAATTGCAAAAAAAATTAGAAGAAGAGGAGATGTTGCTAGGCACTCACCTATATGCACAAATATCTAGATAATAGCAAAAGTACTCTGCAGTTACATGCTCAGACAGATTGTACCTTAAGCTACAGGATTAAATAAAAAGTAACTGTGATTTAGATTAGTTAGTAGAGGAAAACATTCTGATGAATGAATGGTATCTTGCTATTTAAGCAAGAGAGCTAAAGGCCTAAAATGCCAAGAATATTTACAAAAAGGAGCATCCAATTCAGTTCAACAAAATTCAGTTTATCAGCCGACTGTGTTGGTGCCCACCTGTAATCCCAGCACTGGGAAGGCTGTGGCAGGACAATCACTGAGAGTTCAAGGCCAGCCTGGGCTACATAGTGAGACCCTGTTTCAAAAATTTTTTTTCAATATATAAGACCAGTGCTATTTAAGAGACTGTACAATAAACCAAGGAGCAAAGCAGTCATGAAGAATTAGAGACTAATAATCACACCAATGAAGTTGTGGAATATTGTGCTCAAAGAATGTTGATCAATTTTTGTCAATATTGATGTCAATAGCAAGTCTTGAATATTTTGTCAACATGAATGAAGCTTTTAAAAGCACAGTAGCAAGATTTGATAAGAATACAAATTTCGGAAAGTTTTGAAATAAAGAGTAACACAAAACTTAAAATATGTCAAAATTAGCCAGACATGGTGGTGCACACCTGTAGTCCCAGCACTAGGGAAGCTGAAACAGGAAGATCACC